CTGAGGAATCACCTTAAACATGGAAACTATCTCCTGGATCATTCATCTAGTTTTATTTCTTGAGAAGAACATTTCTTCAGTTATTTAATCATGGAGGTAAAAAGAATTTTAAAAATGGTAGAGCTTCTTCAATGTAGTCCTAACATATATTCAGTTCGTTCTGTACACTTCTCGGAGGAATCACAAAAATCAATCGGGGTAAAACAGCTGAAACTTTAATATGAATTTAAAAATTCATATTAAAGGAAAGATACTTACAGGGAGTAGGTGCGATACTAGTTGAGTGAAGAGCTGAAAAAAAAAAACATTCATTGAAAATTGCGTTAACGTGGAACAATCTCAACTCTATCTAGCAAAATGAAATCAAATCTTTGATACTTCATTATGTCCAGCACAAGCATAGAGCCATTACCTTTCATGTGGTTTACGTTTCCTCTTAGACGAAACAGCTTGCAAAGTTTCAGGGATAATTCAAGTGCTCTCCTGACGCGAGGCCTCACGCTCCCAGAGATTCAGAGTGATCTAAGCTTATTTTATCCAGCTATTGCGGATTAATTGAATTAAATCTGTTCTAAAGTTGGAAGATGGAAAAGATTTCGGTTGTAGTCACGCTCCAGGTCATCACGAGAGAAATCTCACACACCTTGGTACGTTAATATCTGACGACCATTCTGTCCAATTTTCATGAAAGTTTAACAAATCTACATGTCTTGTTAAGAGAGGTTGTCACGAAAAATCAAACATTCACCGGCAATAGTCAAAAAGTCGAATTGGCTCATATTCTAGTATTAGGTAGGCCTATAGGTAAAACAAACCAAGACATATGTAGTTTGAATTTTATGGAAATTGGTTGCCTCTGACTGTTGTTATTTCTGCTAATGCTTAAGCCTTCTCAGTAAAATGAAAAAACGAAGATTGTTATCATACGCTATTTAAAGTTAAAAAACGTGACGCGAGGCTTGCGCGCGTAACTATGTATTTGATGCTCGTGCGAGGTTTTTATAGGCTTCTGGAAGTACGATGTGATCGTTCCTAGCATTAGGATCCAAAGTAGACTGCCAGGCCTCAAGGAAAAGTCTCTCGTGGTAATTAGATTCGAAACCAACGACCCTGACGTTTGTAAAGTCCATGTTATGGTCGAAAAGGTGGACATAGCTTGCGACATCGGAGTTTAAGTCAAAACCTGCAATTGCCTTTTTGTGCTCCGCAACTCTGGTCTTTAATGACCTTTCTGTTTGGCCATCGTATTTAAAATTACACTGTGTGCAATTAATTTTGTACACCATGGCTGACTTCTGGCGGTCAGGTTCGTCTCGCTTCTTAGGGCGTGGAAAAAGGCTGTTGCTTGTTAGTTGTTGTTTGTAGGCTACTTTGACCTTTTGTTATTTCAATATGCGACTTATTAGGGAGTTTAAGCAAATCACTACGGCTGGCGCTGCTACGGCTACCGGAAGTAAAATTGTCCAGAAACGAGTCATTGCGCATGTCAGTGGTTCCCATCCAGCCGTAGCGGGAAATCCTTCTACGCGAGTGGGAAGGTTTCGGCGTAGTCTGTGGTACGTGAACTTATCTCGCTTCTTTCTTCGCTTTATACATTCTCCTGAGCAATTTTAACTATTGAAATACACTTAACATCTTTAAAAATAGCTTATCGGGAATATTTATCAAGCTTGCTGTCCCTTCGCGAGTGAATCTGCCTTTATTTTTGCAGCCGGGTTTGTCGAAGGATCGAAGCAGTGTGCACATGGAGAACACAGCGAACGCAAGGAGAAATGCGGAAGTAGAAAGTCTAACTTTTCCTTTCAAACCTCAAAGACTACTTAAAATTCAAATAGCTAAAGCCGAGGAATGACGAGGGTTATGAGGGACCGTGTAGAAACTTTGCTTTGGTGTTTATAAGCTCCAAACTGGCAATTTTACAACACGTAAGCTTAAATATTTTAATTCACTCATTCACTGTGCACAGGATCGCTTACAATTTTTTTCCAAACGTTGGAATCCCTCGTCCCTTTGAACGAAGTCATTTTGAGTTTTTAGACGAGCAAAAACTACCGCGAAGACGCTTAATTTATTGGTTTTAAACTTCTCAGCCGTACTAGGTTTGTAGTTCGCGTTGCTTAAAGTTGAATTTTGGCGGGCTACGGCGACGTACTCTCCCCAAGCCTCGTCAACCACGATAGCCGTAGCAGCGCCAGCCGTAGTGATTTGCTTAAACTCCCTAATAAGTCGCATATTGAAATAACAAAAGGTCAAAGTAGCCTACAAACAACAACTAACAAGCAACAGCCTTTTTCCACGCCCTAAGAAGCGAGACGAACCTGACCGCCAGAAGTCAGCCATGGTGTACAAAATTAATTGCACACAGTGTAATTTTAAATACGATGGCCAAACAGAAAGGTCATTAAAGACCAGAGTTGCGGAGCACAAAAAGGCAATTGCAGGTTTTGACTTAAACTCCGATGTCGCAAGCTATGTCCACCTTTTCGACCATAACATGGACTTTACAAACGTCAGGGTCGTTGGTTTCGAATCTAATTACCACGAGAGACTTTTCCTTGAGGCCCGGCACTCTGCTTTGGATCCGAATGCTAGGAACGATCACATCGTACTTCCAGAGGCCTATGAAGACCTCGCGCGAGCATCAATTACATAGTTACGCGCGCAAGCTTTCGTCACTTTTTTTAACTTTAAATAGCGTATGATAACCATCTTCGTTTTTTCTCATCACTGATGAAGGCTTAAGCATTAGCTGAAACGTCTGATTCAGAAGTAACAAAGGTCACATATGTAGTTTGTTGAAAAATTCTTTTCATTTCAAGAAAATTGATAGAACTAAATTCATGCATAACTAGCTCCATTAGAAGGTCGAACTTAGTCCATTTTTGGAGGCCTTATTTGTACTTGCAAAAGCAGATAAAAACTTACTTATTCCACAAACTTTTAGTACAATGTCTTCCCTATGTTTTCACCAAAACGTAGTGTCACTATTTAAATTTGAAATAAAATACGGATTTTTCTATCTATTTACTTAGGTGCCGTGTGAAAAGTAGGGTAGCTTCAAAAAAAGTTTTTATAGGTGCTAAGTGAAATAAACGTTTATTATTTGAAATATGAGAGGTGTAAATGATAAACTTACCGTTTGTAGGGTTGTTTTTTGGGGTTTTTGCGCTGATATACATGCGAGGGCTTTAAATTCATAGAAATTTCGCTCTTCGGCGAAGTCGGCGACACGAAAGATAAGACCGACTTTGTCTATCATTTGCAGTTTGTGAGCTTCACTGGTAATAATAAATGCTTGAATGCTATAAATAACATCTTCAAATTACTTGCAATACGATAGAAGTTGTTTTCGTTTTCTCTGAAAGCATTCATTTTGCAGAAATGAATAGACATGGTTAATTTGTCACTGCGTGACTCCTGTGTCACGCATTTGTTCGATTTATATTCTTATTTTGCACGGTGGTTTGGAATTTCTTAAATCGAAAAGTTGCAGGGCATTTTTTAGATGAAATCCAAAAAGTACGAATGAGAGGTTTAGTGTTCAGATAAAAATCCATAACCTTTTATGACTTGTAACCACTCATGGGCAATTAGCAGTGAAACGTTACAGTTAATTTCAGCTGATGAAACTTAGTGCACAACTAGTAAACAACCGAGTTTAAATGTTTTGAAGAATGCAAATTTGTTGTTCATTGAATCTCTTGTTATGGATGATTAAAATATAGGGCATTTGAGAGAAGGTGCAATAAAACTTTGGTTTACTTGCATTCGTATTGTTAGCATCATGCGGTTTGAAACATGTAAAAAAAAAATAGAGAATTCGAAAGAAGTAAACTTTGTTCATTCTACGCTATGTCAAATGTAGGGGTATCGTCACCTGTAGGTCAAAACACTACTCCAATGTCATTGTTATTCCCCGACAGGTATGGGCTTCCCACTCTCCATAAGAGAAAAGTTAATTGTAATACTGTCGAATTCGTAATGGCCCCCTTACATTCTGATTACCTCTATTTTTATTCTTGGTGAGAATGATAACAAAGAGTATTCGTATCGTTACTCTACCTTTAGGTCGGCAAACCACACCAGCGTCCTCACTATGCCCACAGTTATGATCTCCCCATCCTCTGTGGTCGCACTGTGATATTGATGTCTCATTTCCCACACATCGCACGTCATCCAGCCATATTGGACCAGTTCCTCGCCCAAATGCTGCATTACGAGGTGCTGATAAAGCTCCATCGTATCCAAGCTCACGACAAACTACGTTAGCATCCTGTAAGTCCCAAAGATCGTCACAAATGGTTCCCCATATTCCATTGTACAGCACTTCAACACGACCAGATGACAGCGAATTGTTGAGGCTAGCCAGCCGAACTACAGTCGTGAATATAAAGATTAGAAAAAGTTGCAGAGAAAACTTGTCGACTCAGCCACTTTTAAGAATGTACTTAGAAATTGAAATTTCATATTTTAAAATATGAAATCTACTGCATCGCTCTAAAATACCTCATCCATCCAATTATTGTTGTTCAATCGCAGAAAAAAGTTAAAATGGTATAGAGGGAGAGAGGGTAAAGGTAAGGGCATGAGGAGAAAAATTTGGTGGGGCATGTCAGAGCATTATTGCGGAATTTAATCTCACATTGTAGGAATTAGCTAAACAACTTTTTGTTACAATTGTACTGGACCAGGTCGGTCTGATGGAATAGAAACAAAACTGGATCCGGAGACTTCAGAACGCGTGCATTTACCGGTAATAGTAAAAAAATCCGAATTGGCTCATATTCTAGTATCAGTTAGGCCTATAGGTAAAACAAACCAAGACTAAGGTAGTTTGTTGAAAAATTCTTTTGATTTGAAGCGAAGTGGAAATGATAAACTTACCATTTGTAGGGTTGTTTTTCTGGGATTTTTGTGCTGCTATGCATACGAGAGCTTTAAATTCAGGAATTCCACTCTTCGGCGAGGTCAGCGACACAAAAGAAAAGACGGACCTTGCTAATCATTTGCAGTTTGTGAGCTTCAGTGGTTAGAATGAATTTACTGGCACTCTGCATTTAGTATTTCCCCCTCGAGTCCACCCAAGACCAAGTCTTGAGCAATGAAGTGGGGATATTGTCCATGCATGAATATCGTTGGGTCGTTGTAAAACAGCTGCTCTACTCAATATCAAGTCATACTCGGTGAACACACCCGAGGGTGAATAAAAAAGAGCCAAACGTCCTTCTATTTCCTTGTCACAGGACAGCAAAGCTAATATTCGCCTATCTCCTTTTCTGGCTCTTGGATTGTAGCCTTGATCATCCCCAAAAAATTTCCATTCTTCAAATTTCTAAACTTAACTGTTTTCTCACTGCGCACTAAGCCTTATCAGATGAAATTGATTGATTAACTGTAACGTTTTATTGCTAATTGCCTATGAGTAGTTACAAGTCCAAAAAGGTTATGAATTTTTATCTGAAGACGAAACCTCTCATTCTTACTTTTTAGGTTTGATCTAAAAAATTCCCTGCAACTTTTCGATTTAAGAAATTTCAAACCACCGTGCAAAATAAGAATATAAATCGAACAAATGCGTGACACAGGAGTCGCGCAGTGACAACCATGTCTATTCATTTCTGCAAAATGATTGCTTTCGGAGAAAACGAAAACTATCGTATTGCAAGTACTTTGAAGACGTTATTTATAGCATTCAAGCATTTATTATTACCACTGGAGCTCACAAACTGCAAATGATAAACAAAGTCGGTCTTTTCTTTTGTGTTGCCGACTTCGCCGAAGAGCGAAATTTCTATGAATTTAAAGCCCTCGTATGCATAGCAGCACAAAAACCCCAGAAAAACAACTCTACAAACGGTATGTTTATCATTTCCATCTCTCACATTTCAAATAATAAGCGCTTATTTCGCTTAGCACGTATAAAAATATTTATTTGAAGCTACCCTACTTTTCACACGGCAGTTAAGTAAATAGATAGAAAAATCCGTATTTTATTTCAAATTCAAATAGTGACTCTACTTTTTTGTGAAAACATAGGGAAGACACTGTTGTAAAAGGTTTGTGGAATAAGTAAGTTTTTATCTGCTTTTACAAGTACAAACGAGGAAAACATAGGGAAGACACTGTTGTAAAAGGTTTGTGGAATAAGTAAGTTTTTATCTGCTTTTACAAGTACAAACGAGGCCTCCAAACATGGGCTAAATTTGACCTTCGAATGACGCTAATTATGCATGAATTAAGTTTTATCAATTTCCTTGAAAGCAAATTAAAAGAATTTTTCAACAAACTACGTATGTGTTGGTTTGTTTTACCTATAGCCCTATCTTATACTAGAACATGAGCCAATTCAGTGACATCTTCTCTCAATTCCTTTAAGTAGAGGTAACTCGCGTTAAAAACAAACTTCGAGTAAGAAATTCGCAGGCATACCACCGACCAATGAAACGAAACATCAAACTTCATGGCAAGTCTCTTGACAAAGAACTCCTTTGAAATTCGTGGGAAAGGTCATTACGCGAAACGGGGAAAATACAACAGTACAATGGAATATACAAAATCCAAAATTCATCGGGAGAAACCGAAGGAAAACTGGACAAAGCAAGCTGGGGAAGAAGAAAAACTTAACTTGGATTTCTTAGGCCCGGGCTCTCTCATCGTTGAGTATTCCCCTTTTGAGCATTCGATGAAGATTTTAATTTTTTAGCGCTCCGAAATGTGCCAGAAAATCCCCTTTGTAAAATGCAAATCGAGATCCCGGACAAAAGCCCGCGGGAAGCGTCAACACTCTGCTGGAGGCCTTCCGGATTATGTCAACTTTCGCTCTTAGGTACAGATTACCCTAAAACATTCTTTCAGCCGTATGTCGCATTCTTTTTTAGATTTGAATTTTTTTTTGGACAAATTAAACTTTAAGAAAGCAATTAAACTTGTTTTCTCTGACTAAAGAGAAAAAAGACGAAATTTAGAAAATTCTGACTACATTTTGTTGGCAATAACCTTAAAACACGCGATACAGATGTAGTAGGTGTTTTGGTGGAAGTGCACTTCCTCAGTTCATTGTAGAAGAATAATAGATATGGTTCAACTTGTTGCCTACTTCCAAAAATTTGGTGTAAAAGTGAGCGGGGAGACTTTGTCTTACCATTCCCAAAAACATACATAGATGCTGTCGCCGTCGGCTGTGTGGATGCTGTTGAGTTGAACGAAAAGATGTAGTTACTTTTAATCACAATGTAAAAGTGGAACGATAATAAGTGTATTATGTTACGTGAAAATAGAAATTTCTGGACTAACTTGAACAACGCCGACGAAAGAGGCAAAGAAAATTTTAGGCAACAGAAATACCTGGCGAGGGTGCTATAGTGGTAGACGTCAACGAGTGATAACCTGTTGAGAAAAAAGTGAAGAGCTCTTGTAAATTGTGATTTGACCTTATCGATAAATAGGTCTAAACTAATTATCATCTACGATAGGAAAATTCTAATCTCCGTTCTGTTACTCTCTGGCCTTGGCAGTCTTTGCTGTCTGTTTCATGTAACTGTCTGTCGGTCTGTTTGGCTGTTGTATGCTGTTCGTCTACGTGTTTGTCTCTCTTCAATTGGTCTGTCTGCCTGGTAACTGTCCGTTTGTCTCTCGCAACCGTCTGTTTGCAGTCTATCCGTCTGTTTGTTGGTTTTTCCATCGGTCTGTCTTTCTGTCTGTTTTTCTACCAGTCTGTAACGTCTGTCTGTCTCACCTCCTCCATTTCCACAAAAACGAGAGTCACAAATTGATAAGGGTACAAGCTCGTACACGTAGAAACCGCTGCAGTTACGAACGCGAATGTAAGTAGACCATAAGCAGCAACTTGAGGACCAGTGAAAACACACTTGAACATAGACAATTCCATCAGCCACCGACGGGTGCTGGCCATTTAACCAACCCGTTACGCTAGTGCCGCATCGATATCTTCCTACACAGGACGTTGGCATCTCTGTTCCCGCTGCACCAAGAAATCTGTACCATCCAGATTGTAAAGTGTGATAATCACAATCTACATTTCCGTAATAGCCGTTATAATGACCCATCCCTCTTTCTGCATCTTGTAGGTAAGAATGGTTGTAGCATTCTATAAAGTAATGTCAAATGCATGCTTTAGTTTTTAGGTGCGTTTCACAAAGCTTCACAACTAATAAGTATTTTGTCTTTGTTTTCAAAAATCTGAAATAAACAGAACAATGCAATGTTAACCATACATGTTTTTAAAATAGCCTAGAATGGTGCAAAGAGAAATTCTGCGATCAATCACGACCTAATTCAGTTTATCTTCATTTTGAAGAAAGTTAGTTATTACTGCTCTAGTAGCTTAGAGTGGGATCTGAAAGAAGAGAAATAAAAACGTAGAAACGTCTTATGACAACCTGAAGATTGTGAAGGAGCTGCGCTAACGGATGCAGATGGGCCTGTGTAGAGAAAATTTAGAGTTAATTTTACTGAAGGACTCAGCTGAAAATTAGCAAGCATTTGTCAAAAAGAATGGCAACAATTGCAAACGATGAACATCACATTCAAGGCTCAGTGTTCCCTATGGATTTAGTGTTTTTTTTTTTACTTAAATCTCTCAAGATTACTATTCATTAATTCTATCTAAAAACTCTTCTATATGGTATCGATATATTGGTGTGAGCTCAATCAATAACATTCATGTCATGTGGTAATAGCGGTGTCAGTGGTGATAGTAAGTAGTGGTTATAGAGCTAGCAGTGAAAGTACTTATAGGAGTAGCAGCGGTAGTGGTGGTGACTTGGGAGTTAAAGTAGCCAGGGAAATACGCAGTGGTGCTAATGGTAATGTTAGTGGTAGTAGAAGTAGTAATGACAGTAGCCTTAGGGGGGTGGTGATAGTATTACTGATGGTGTTAGTGCCAATAATCGAGGTAGAGGTATAGTGGTAATAGCAGGGATAGCACTAGGGGCAGTGTTAAAGGTTGGCTTTAGAGTTAACTGGTGATGGAAATGAGAGGGGTAATGGGTGCGGAAGTGGTACTAGTGGTGGCAGAAAAAGTAATTACCAGTTGAAGTAGGTGTTATCCTTGAAGAGATGGCTGTAGATAAAAAATTAAAAGCACAATAAGATCACAAAAAGGAATAATCATACAATTGATACAGACGATATCTCTGTTTGAGGAAAAAGCGTTTGTTAGTTCGTTGGACACATCGACTTTTGTTTGTTAATGTTAAAGCCTGCACTAAGCATGACCAGAGGGATATGCTAAATTTTAATTAGAAGAAACGAGAAAAAATCAACAAAGATGTTAACGTGGGAAACATTTCCAAGGCATGATAGGCTGAAAAGTTTACTAAATCAAACACTGGGAAAAATAATCATGTTGCAAAGAGTATTAACTATACCGATGAGCTTAAAAGATACCCTAGATGAAACAGTTTTGAGAATATACAGGTAAGATGTTGTTTTCAACTCTGTCATGAGAGTAACGTAACCCTTGTTCCAAGAACTGACAGGGTAAGCCTGTACACCTTGAGATAATCGAATGGCTCAAAGAAAAATTATGTTGAGGTCTTTTTTCCATTATTGTTATTATTAGCATAAGGAAGCATCCCACAAAAAGTAGTAGCAGTAGATGTATCTACCTGAAGTCTGGGTATATGGCCACCACCAATGAGATCGTTTTGACCGATGATGTCCCCTACACTCATCTATATCTGCAAACAGAAAAGAAATTTCCACGTGGAATAAATCTCGTAAAAATATATCTTGAAATTGAGTTTATGCTTCTAAATTTCAAATATTAGAATTGGTTCACCCCAGTTAAATATTATGATTTCGATTTTGAATTTCTGGCTTGATCTCATTGGATATTGGTTTGCTTTAGATTTAAGTTTCTACTCCAGCAATTGATAGAATAATTTCGAAACATTAAAATTGTAAACAGTTTAGAGGAAGAATATTAACTAAACTTTGCGGTTTTCAAAAATTTCATACATTGCTACATTATTGCCGAAAGTAATTTCATTCTGAACGACCATCGGTGGAAATGAACAATACATATTCCATTTAATCAATTCCAACAGATCATTCTTCATGCACATAACCTTTTAAGATAATTATGGGAAGAAACATTTTCGTTGGGCTGCGTAAAATCATTCTTACTAAATACAAAGCCCTATTACTGAAGATTATCAGACTTACTGATAGCGCTTTTTGCATTGGTTGAGATAGGAGCATAGATGATGCACCCTCATAGCCTACAACGAGACGAGACAATGCAAGCTAAAGATGCCGGTTTTGTGAAGATGTTTAAAATCAAATATTATAACTCTGGACGTACCCTCACACTTTTGAAAACTTGGAGGAGCCAAAGCATAACCAACAGGGCAGGCACCATCTACAGGGAAAGCCCAGTCTTTGGGTGAGGTTATACCAGGCGTTGGTGGACCATCATATGAGCAGCCTTGTCCAACTACTGCACCGTGATCTATCAAGATGGCATATGAACCATTCATACTCAGTGCAGCCTTGGGCGTGGCAAAATGCAGTGCTGTGCGATTACTGTCGATAATGACGTAACCGGAGAGGGCATTCACTTTGAAGACGGTAAAACCATTTGATTGCAGAACCAGTCGTATGAATGCTGAGCTACGAGGCTTCTTTATCTGCAAATAATCAAACTCATCATAAATTCAAGTATATTCTAAATTTGGATGTTTCCCTCACCTTTTGAATCCCCACGATCTGAAAACTAGTTCTCCCAGAAGATGACTGTTTTTTCGGTTTCTTGGTAATGAGAAACTGGGTATCCGAGTAATGTTCCTTAATTTTTAATTTTCTTGATTATTATCCCTTGAAAGCATTAAAATTTATTAACATTCTATTAAAGTATCTACGTATAGGTGTTCCTCACCACTCTGTCAAAATGAATACTCCACCATATCAGTCCTGTTCCAATCTCACTTATAGGGCTTCTTGGCCTTTGTGTACCCAAAATAACATGAGGCGTATTACCTAAAAATGATTGAGTGTCTATATAAATAAATGATGAAATGATACATGCTTCTTAAATAACGAATGGCTAAAGGACTCAGTTGATGTGCTTTTTATTTCAGTTTTTAATTTATGATGATATTGAAATTATTATTATCATAGTTACTATTATTATTATTTCATTGCCTTTTTGTCATTAACATAATAGATATTACTATTCATTGTTTTTGCGTTATTATTAATAAACAAATAGACCAGCCAACTCTTCAGTTAGCATGAAACATTAAACGAAAGAAAATATTAAAAAGCAAAAGCTGAAAATATCCCTTTTTCTCAATGAATCGAAATGTACTAGAGGATTAAAAATACTTACTCAGCCCCACAAGGATTGTGACACAACGCCATTCACTTTGTAATCTGTAGATTGGAAATATATGAAATTTAACAAATGGTAAACACCACAGCGTACACTATGGAGTTATGGATGCACGCGGGAGGTTGCTAAGCACGAAAGTAGGGTAAGAGTCGCTCGAGGCGATAGCCGAGAGCGACTCTAGCTTCTTGAGTGCTTAGAAAACCTACCAAGTGAATCTATAACTCAATAGTGTAGGCTGTGGTGTTTACCATTTGTTTTATAACATAACATTGATACATTGTAGCTAAAGAGTTCCCTTTTATTTAACAAATCTTACGCGACCAGAAAAAACAAATGCGCGCGGAAAAATAGTCTTTGCATTTGCTCACGTCAGCAGCGTACACCCATGGGCAAAGGGGGGACGCTAAATTGACCAATCAGAGCGCGCGCTTTACTTTGGTTATGTTATAAATGGATATATACACACCGACTTACACAACATGAACTTTTCTCATCCTCCTGTAAATTAATAAAGACATGGACCAAGATAAACCAGACACAAAATTGTTTTTGCCAGTACTCGAGTTTCTTGTACTAGTATAGAGCTCTGGTTGTTGGACTAAAAATGCTGCCTGGTATGCACATGTTGCACTCCATAAAACATCATTAATGTTATACTCTTGTCTTGACAGTGATCATTAATACTAATAAAAACTTAAAATAACTCATTCTAACTTGGCAGTTCATCAAAATTAGGATTGCAGATACAAAAATTTTACACAACGTACGAGAGCATCTTACCCGTCTGAATCCAAGGCTTGAAAACAGAACAACTGCTGCCCAACTTGGTTCTGATTCGGATACCAAGTGACATTCCTGTAGAAGATGCCTCCATGAAAGCGTAGTGGAGTCAGTTGCATCCCAATTGGAGAGCTTGTCGTTATCTCAACAATACTTAGAATATAAAGAACAGATATTAAGCGTTGGATGTAGTCTTTGAGTAGCACAGTGTCATACCGTCAGAAGTGTAAGTCGAGTGAGGCCAGGTATGCTACGATAGTTTAATTTTCCAAGCTTTCGCCAATCTACGGCATCATCCCTGATGATGTCGTAGATCGGCGAAAGCTCGGAAAACTAAACTATCCTGGCATACCTGGCCTTACTTGACTTACTCGTCCATCTTTCTAAGGAAAAGAGTCTTGGTTAACGTCAAATATAACATGGCAAGTAATACACTTTTGGATATGTGTTATATAGACAGTTCATGGATGAAAAGGCAAAGTCAGATGCCCTGGACTTGCAACCTTGAATACTTACTGTTTAGCAATGTTTGAAAGCCGCACCTCAACCACTGCTCTATATACCGACCCAATCTGAATCTCTGAGCATTCACCATTTTGAGGTGTAGAGGCAGTAAAAACTGGTATGTCTTGGCAAGAACCAGACCCAACGCTTATTATGGCAAGAAACTGCAGTGGCACGGCACTGAATGGTCTGATGTTGTTAAAGTTGGTGGTTCCAGCTGGAAAGTCTTCCAAAGTTAAGGTTACTGCGTAGGTGCCCGATGCTCCACTTCCACCTCTGTAAGTTAAAACGCAGTTTTTCTGCAAAGCAAAGTGTGTAAGAACCATTTTACACTGCATTTAGATACATTAGACACATAGATACCGTTCATAACACATTTTGAAGTATTCAGTGATTGATTGCTGAACAGACCTACAGCAAAATAGAATCTGCTGTTTTTTTGTTTTTTTTTTAATAAAGCAAAAATTAACAAATGGTAAACACCACAGCGTACACTATTGAGTTATGGATGCACTTAGGAGGTTTGCTAAGCACTCAAGAAGCTAGAGTCGCTCCTGGCTATCGCCTCGAGCGACTCTTACGCTTCTTTCGTTTTATAACATAACATTGATACATTGTAGCTTAAGAGTTCCCTTTTATTTAACAAATCTTACGCGACCAGAAAAAAACAAGCGCGCGCTGAAAAATAGTCTTTGTATTTGCTCACGTCAGCGGCGTACACCCATGGGCAAATGGGGAACGCTAAATTGACCAATCAGAGCGCGCGCTTTACTGTGGTTATGTTATAAATGTTATTGGCGACGTCATCCATGCGTCTTGCCTCCAATAGATTAAAAGTGGGAACCAACAAAAATACGCGTAGAGCTAAGCTAATTCTATAAAATTGTTAACATTTCAGAAATAAGTTCATAAAATTAATATGAGTTAACAAATATAACTAATCAGTATTCGGAGAAACACTGAAACGTAAACGATGGTTCGCTGTAGCCAATATTCCAATTCTTAATATAAAGTTCACGTTTTCCTGGAAAATTGTAGTATTATTTGGTGCAAAATTATAGCAGGTGCCTTTATTTATGTATATACCGCTATTTTTCTTCAGTTGTCGCTGTAATTTCTGTTGATTTTCTGTGTGCCACTCCATTTACTCGGTCGCTGTTTTACTCAGAAAGCTCTCGGGCATTTCACTCCATTTACTTGGTCGTTGTTTTACACGGGAAGCTCTCGGGTAGCTTACTCTCAGATAGACGTTGGGCGCTTTGATTGGTTTCTCACGCTTTGTCATGGGTTAGGTGACAATTACCAACTTGATCACGAAACAAGACTACTTTATCCAAGTTGATGTATCGAGAAAGTCCAAGAGGTTGCGTTCTTTTGCGTTCTTTTGCATTAGTAAAGTACTTACATAACAAGAAAAAAATGTAGTGATAGAGCATAAAAATTTACCTCATCAAGTTCACCGTAAGGAAAACTATCTCTTGATATGAAGGACTCGGCGCGGGTTGCCCAACGACATTTCACAGAATCACCATCTGGATCTTCAACTGGGATTTTAAGAGACTTTTGACAGCCCTTTTGAAACCGTACAATAGCTGGGCTCTTGGAGACCGGCGATGAGTTGATTTTTCCGTTATCTGATCGCTTAGAGAGACTTATATTGGTAGATATCAACCAGCTCGAGCTAGCATATCGCACAAGATTGGAAATCCAGCAGCAAGTTCGGTAACTGTCGACGAGACAAGAAAGGAAGGTTTGTGGAAAAGAGTGAGACTGCGGAAATTTATCTTGATTTGGGAAAACAGGCCACCACACCAACGAAATTGAACATGAGAAAGACTTCTACGCTGGTCTGCAGAATTACCAAAACGTAAACAGGAATGGAAGGACGGAGTGACGGAGTGACGGAGTGATGGGTGGAAGGAGTGAATTTGGGGTCATAACACTGATCAACTCGGAAATAATAAAAAAAAAATATTATTAAATAATAATTTAGCGATGGACATTCCACTGAGTGGCCCTTCCTTGTCCACTGTTTTCAGATCGAATTGGAAATTGGAATGTTGGTTTTTGCGGGGAAGGAAAGCCGAAGGACCCGGAGAAAAACCCTCGGAGCAAGGACGAGAACCAACAACAAACTCAACCCACATGTGACACCAGGTCCGGGAATCAAACCCGGGCCACAGTGGTGGGAGGCGAGTGCCTTCACCACTGCGCCATCCCTGCTCCCCAAAATGAAATGGTTTTTAGTTATTTTCTGAGTTAAAAACAATTTGTGAAATCTAATTTTGGTCATTGCAAACAGCTCATGATTGTTTGAGGGTTTCTGCCTCCTTAAAACTGAAACATTGTCAGAAAGTTAATCTTCACGTGGTTCTTTTTCCTCTTAATTCGGACGTTGACACACCTCACAGTCCACTCTAGGTTGCTAGACGGAAAAGTGTAGGTAAAATTATTTTCCCCCATGGACCAGTCTTCATCGCGACTAAAGTCGGTACAGCGGAAGCCAGTGTCTGCGATATAAGTAGTCTGCCAACACACTGCACTGAAAGGATCGCTGCACTTAGCTCCCCAAGAACCTCCAGGTCTAATAATTCCTCCTATGCTAGTTGTGTTCTCATCGCAGCGGTACGAAAAAAATGACCTTCGAAAAGCCAGACGGAAGGTAAACCGAATCTGGAAAATAAATAAAAAGATGATATGCATAAAAGTTAGGATTTCAAATAAAGTTTTGGTTATCTCTAAGACTTTAAAATTAACGAGGAAAGTTAATTTAATATAATCACACATAAAATGAAAAGCCATTTTACGCTGGCGATACTTCTTTATGGCTTTATCAGGTTAGGTGGTCATGGCCCATTGTCAAGTACAAAACAAAAAAACAGTGATATCGATGGAACGTAACACGTAAACTAAATAAAGGAGCAATATTTCCCTCGAAGAGCTTTGTCTACGGATATCTTTAAATGCCGCTGAACCCACGGATAGCCGAGCCGCATAAACCTTCCACAGACATAGCAGGCAGCCTTGATTTCCTTCTACATGTCCTAAAAGTTTCTATAGCCGTTAGTCCTTGTAATAATAACAATAATAATAACAATAATATCATTTATATAGCGCTTTATTCAAAAGTTCTAAAGCGCTTCACAGAATAAATAGACAATAGAATAATGAAACTTACAATATCTAGGAGATAAAATAACATTCAATAAGATAAGTTTTGGAGATTACTTAAAAGTATCGACTGTAAGAGACAGAAGAATGATCTTGTATAGTGTGACTAGCGTACTAACATTGCGGGCGCTTTTACCATCGAGCACATGGTTTTAATAGTGTTGTGTTGTAATCGTTTTCTCAAGGACGAGTTTCGCTTGTTGTTAAAGCACGATAACTTCGAATCCTCTCATTTCTACGAGTCTCGAATGAGATGAATACAAGTTTGTGCAAGTTAGGAAGCCCCGCTTAATAAAAGGTTTGTTATTCCAAATAGCCAAGAGTGGACGCTACATCAATCGAAGTTGTTTATTATTAGCCAAGAAGCCAAGAGTGGACACTACATCGACGCTGGGACTGTACAACTTTTTTGAAGCAATTATATAATTTTTTCAAAGCAATCGTTGTCAAAGCAATCGTTGATATTTTCTTTTCTAAAAACAATAACCCTTAGTGACGCTGTATCGTAAAACAGTTTGTCATCGTGGCAAATAACACTTTAACAAGAAAGGATAATCGTTTGTCTCACGATGTAGTCACTTTTGATGTGGATCGCGACGCAGACTCGACTGCATACTGCTAATCTCCCTCAGGCGATGAGGTCGATTGAATACGCGTCACCTATATACTTAGTGCTCAGCTGTGATTGGATGGAATTCCACGGCTGTGATTGGTGCCTCTTCGGAATTCGCTACTGCATGGCTCTCCTGCTCTTGTGTTTCTTGATCGTCGACATCCAGGCTTCCGGGGTCTCTTTTCCAAAGTCTTTGTTGATGTTATTAGGGTGACGCCTAATGTAAACTGCCCCTTTCACCTCGCGCACCCTTCACAACTGAACTTAACAGTATTTAGGTGACGTGTGCCAACCTTAGTGCCAACCAATTTTCAATTGCGTAGGAAAATTAAAATCATATTTCATTTTCGTTTTTCGTTTCTTGTTTTTCGTTCTTCGCTGCGCTGTAAAAAACCAAATTGGACTTCAATTTTCTTTTTTCGTTTTTCATTTTCCGCCAATGGCACTGAAACTGACATTCTGTGGGAAAACTCATTACTTCACAAGGGAATTCTATGCGGTGGCCATAAGTGCAAGTCAAATTAAAATCAAATTACTCAAAGCAAAACGTCATGCGACACAACAGAATAACTCACGGCAAAACAAATAAACTGACGGCAAAATAAAATAACTCATGGAAAAATATGATAAACTCACGGCAAAACAGATCTAACTCACGGAAACATATCAAACTGTTTCCCCACTGAGATGGACATTTGTTTTTGTCGGTTCCAGCCTGGCGCGGCCGCTAACCCAGATGCCCTCCTGAGCAATTTTCAAAATGGCGGACCAGCCAAAGAGAGAGATAAGAGAACCAAAGCGATTCTGCAACGAATACTCAGCATACACCCCTGTTAAAAAGGTCATTTCAGAGACAGAAGATACAAAATTGTATGATGTTAAAGTCACGGAGGTTGACAAACCCAACAAGAGACTGAAAATTCACTACAGTACACGCTACAGTACACGCTTCGATGAGTGGAGACCCTTCGGGGACGATGAAGCATCTGAATATTTTCCTTCGAAATTGTATAGATTAGTAGGCTGCAACAAAAATTTGTTGGACGACGTTTAGGGTAAAAACAGCAATCTAACCTGAAAAAAATGTATTCATTTCGACTCTCTCGGAAAATAACTTTACAAATCTTACTTGTTTATCTCGTAAGTAAACGATGGTAAATTAATACCCGAAGCGCTTTCCGAGCTACCCGATTCTTCTCCCACTGCTTTCACGCTTATAAAACAGGAAACGAGCAAAAGGAGGAAGGTGTGGTTGTTTTGACTAGCCATTTGCCGAGGTTCAGTCTGCTCCTTGTTCGACAATTTACATATCAAAACAAAGGAAATTTGTTCCTCTCTTTGATTTTGGCGGTACATTTTCAGTTTGCGCTTGCGTAAGAGAGAAATCGCCCAAGACTCCTTGCTCGGTCTTGTTTTGACCACGAACGCCTTCTTAATTTTGACGGACCCGCTCGGGAAAAGGTGAAAATGACGAGGGAAAAACTTTACTTTGTAGTACAAAAATACACAAAATGGAAAGCCATGATATTATAGTTCAATATTTCGGTGGTACATTGTTAACATTTTATACAGAGAGTCGGCAAAATGATATAACATCCAAAAAACGCACTCGATTTGAGTTGGCCGATGAAGTGGTAGTGGTCACGAAATTCAGTAAGAGACCATTTGTACCCCGTGAGTTTGATATGATAAAATAACCAACGGAAAAATAAAATAACTCGCGGCAATATAAAACAAATCGCGGGAAAATAAAATAACTCGGGGCAAAAAAAAAATCAACTCACGGCAAAACAAAATTTAAAATTTATTTGAGGGTCAACGGTTGATATCGTTCAAATACTGACTGCGTACTGCGTATGACGCTGTGTATTTTAACATGGCGGATAACGAATCACCTCGTATTCATACCCTTGCCTAATTATAAAATAGTATTTCAACAAAAGCCTCTGTTTTTCGAGTCTTTTAATATTCATTTCGGGGTCAGATACTGACTGCGCATGATACCGTGTATTTCACCAAAAAAGCGGGTCACGAAATTGTCCTTTGCTGTGAGTCTTGCAAAGAAAGTGTCATTGAATGACAATTTTTTGCTGTATATGCGGTTGTTTTCTTTTGCCGTGCGTCTTTTTCTTTTTGGTGTGAGTCTTTTTCTTTCTGGCGTAAGTCTTTTTCTTTTGCCGTGAAGTTTATTCTTTTGCCGTGAGGTTCTTCCTTTTACCGGGATTCTTTTTCTTTTGCCGCGAGGTTATTTCCTTTGCCGTGACATTTGTGGGCCACCGTAAGTCTGCAGTTATTTCGCGGGGATCTGTCGTATCATGATTGGCTGTTATTTAGGTAGAATTCCCTCGTGAAAAAATTAATTTTCCCACAGAATGTCAGTTTCAGTGTCATTTGAGTGCCATTGGCGGAAAACGAAAAACGACTTGACTTGACTTGCAATCCGTTTTCCAAATTACATACGAAAACGAAAAACGGAAAACGAAAATTGGAGTCCAACTTCATTTTTTTTACATCGCAACGAAAAACCAAAAACAAAAAACCAAAAACGAAAGTGAAATTTCATTTTCATTTTCCTACGCAATTGAAAATAGGTTGGCACTAAGGGACACGCATTTATTATAATTCTCTTTTGAAAGAGCTAATGACCTTGGCCATCGCGGCATTTTTGATGAAGTTGGCGGTTTTATTCTTCAAATACCCTTACGGTTGATGCCTTTTAACAAAAGAAGGTTCCGCAATGTACTTGATATACACACATTTCAGTAACGTACCACAGTTGCCCTTGTCAGGTTCTTTGTCGTGGAAAGTTAATGAAATCAATGGCTTTGAACTCTGCCGTTGGTGAAAAAAATCCACTGCCAACTGGAATGGTAACCAAGAGTTAGCGGCAGTTGTTTAGAACGCCTTAGCGTTTGGAGATAAATTATGAATTTGAATAGATAACGACAAAAACCGCAGTCTTTCCAAGAAATGGCCACAGTTGGTTGCGTCAAACAAGATGTAGCGCGATTCTTACATAGTTGAGTTTATCGTTGTTTAAAAATGTTAGAAAAACATGTTTTCAGCAATGAAGAGAGGCTAGAAAAAATAGCTAGGAGCGTCGATCATCATGATGTATTCTGCAGAACAGATCATGGTAGTGTAGAAATATGTAGTGTCCACCTTAGCAAATTCCCACCGAAAGCTATCAAAAGACCGAGGGTAACAAAAGGCAAACGTGTTTGTAAACTCATTCGAAGCATTCGAGTGCCATTAAAAAAAATTTCTACATGATAGAGCAATAGTACAACCTACCAATGACATGTACCAACATACTAATGACGTGTACCAAAAAAAGAAATATACGCCCACTGAAGTTTGACTCAGCGCACGAAACAAATCTCCTTAAATGCTAAGATATGTAAAGCCACAACTTGGCTGGTGATAACCGAGAGTCTGCTTTGTTGAAATGTTCTGTGCCGGAGCATGCCTTCTTCAGCATTTAGGTTTAAAGAGAAGAGCCATGACTAGAAAGGCAAATGCCGCCACATGGAGAAGAGGGATAGGTTTGTCTGCGTTGTGCTTTGCTTGATACTACGTCGGTCTCTTACAAACAAAAGTCTAAAGTACTGTTTTATGAAGCGTTTCATGAAAATTTTAAATCTGAGGTAAAGATTTCCGGAGCTTAAAGTTTCAAGGTCTTAGTAGGTCGAAACAAGGTGACAACCAGTCGCTCAGAGCACGGGACTGTCTTGTGGGGACTCAAGTGAAATTTCTTCGACTCACCTTGCCAAATGCTTCAGAGAAAACGTTCGTTTACAATGATGCATTATAGTTTGTCTTATTTACAAACTGAAAACAAAAAACGAGTGTAAAAGGTATAAAAGCAAGCTCAGCAAAATGAGCCTTTACTCGTACCTCTAACGTTCATATACAATATGGATAAAGGATAGATAAAACATCTCAGCAAAGTAACCCAGTGGCGTGCAATTAAGGACCATACCGTGTTGTTATCAGCATCAGTCGGAGCAAAGCTCATGAAGGCATGTCTGAAGTGAGACCCTTCCACTAAACACGACCATTGCACGAACACCAGTAAGCAAAGAAGGAACGTGAACGTGTGAAGTGTCATCTTTGGTAGCATTCCGTTTCTATTGACCCGCTCCAAAGAAAATGATCATCATATAACTGCTAAATCTATTTAACCAGACACATTAGGCAGAGCCTAAGTTAAACCATGTCAATCAAGATTACGCCCACGTATCCAAGGTAACCAATTAAAGAAGTCTTGAAGCCATGCAAGACACACAATATCATTTTTATAATAACAACAAATTATTTAGTCGTTACAAATCAGATTTTACTTCTGCTCAATCGTGAGTGAAGAGAAAGCTTATGCTCTGTACATTTCACAACCCAATATAATACAATGAAAGTAGTTTGCTGCAATTGCATAGCAATCAACTCTTTTTCTCGCGGCTTGGGCATTAATAACATGCCTGCTGCGTGAGAACATGGTTGCCTTAGGTAAAAAGTTCATATTAATAAGATTCTGGAAGCGCGTTCAAGCGAGTTTTAATTTCAGATATGCATATTTCGAAGGTTTTGTGACCGCCGAATTCCAGAGTCATTAAATCCTGTAATACATGTAATTAATTTGTACCCCTAAAACTCAATTTTTTGGAATATGAAAAACTAACTGCATCAGGCATATGCTGCAGAACATTATATCTACTTGAGACGTACGCCTGCGGTGTTTAAACATTTTTATTAAGTCGCGTCCATCACTTAAGGTAAAGATATGCATTGCAGTGGGGGAAACCAGGGGGCCGGAGAGTTCGATCGAGAATAATAATAAAGAAACTACTATAGGTAAGTCTACGGTGTATGTCTCAACCATCAAATCACCTCCACGCTTGATATTATTGTTGTTCGTTCTAGTTAGCACGATTCTGATGAGCTGACACCACTTTTAGGAAGGTAGAGACTGGTGATAAAATCGAATAGTAAGACGGTGTAATATGAGATATGCAACTTGTGTGTTTTTTTATTTTGATTAATAAATTTCGTCCTTAATCTGCCTTCTCTGCATTCTGAGTGTTCACCTCCACAAGTAGTCACGATACATTAACAGTCAAACTTAAGTATATTAATGAAGAGAATTGCCTACTTCTCTGAACACTTCCTTTGTTAGCTTAGGAGAACCAGACTCTCGATTGAAAACATCACGTGTGCCTAACGTAGAGTGTACAACGTTCTTTATTTAAGTTTTTAGTCAAACATTTCCCATTTCAGTTACAGCCTTGGGGGTTGAGTGCGCTTCAATCTTGCATTGAAGCTATTTTCGAGGCGTGGTCTTTTTTGTTTGATCTGATCAAGGAAACCGACAATTATACAGTCAATAATGCTGGAAAAAGGAGGACACGTAATCAGTTATGCTAAGTTTAGAGAACTCGACGTCGAGCTCTAAGAATGGACACAATTAAATGGTCTTGACAAACAAGATTCTTAGAGATAATTGATTTCCTTTGTGTTGGTGATTCAGTTTTTTCTAACAGCGTGAGTTCAAACTTGACTTTTGACCTAACATTTCTCGTATTGTCCTATAGACAAGATTTCATCACGAAAGCTATTGGAATGTTATGACTTCAAATTCGTTGAAAGCGTCTTCACAAATATCGCCAACGCTCTCCATGCTATCTTATTTAATTTTCAAGCCGACTCAGGGTAAAGGTTTCATACATGAAAACCTTAAGTTTCCTTTTTATCCTCTATCTCGCTTTATTAAATTATAGTTATTATTAGGTATTTTTAAAGATTATGGATGAACATTGGTTGTTCCCGTGTAATCTGACCGTTAACTAGCTGGGCGTTTTCATGAACAACATTGGAGAACACATGGTTTCCGTTCAGTTTCGTGGAGTCACTGAACTGTGCCTGGTTGTGACACCACACGGCAGTCATGTTCTCAATATTCAGTAGGATTTCTACGCGAATTATTTCTCTTTTCACAGAAGTTCCACTGATCGCTTGCAAGAAAAGAGCTAGCTTTAATCTTAAAAAATGTATTTTCATAAATTGAAAAGGAAAATTATTTTATGGGGCTCACGCATGTCTTAATCAGAAACATATTTTGTGAGAGTGCACGAGAAGGGACTTTAGTTTCACTTGGGCAAGAAAAACCGAAAAGCTAACAAATAAACTTTTGCAATCCCTGACAGCATTGTGAGTTTCAAAACTTTTGTACAGACTCTTCTGTAAAAAGAAAAGAAGCAAAAAAAAAAAAAAAAAAAAAAAAAACATAATTACAAACAAATGGAGTCAACAGCTTGATATCAATCACAAGCCTGCTCAGTTGAGCTGTAGATAATTTTTTGCGAGCCCACAACTGCTGTGAATATTCTAGACAGCATGCAAAGAAAGCAGGCAACTGTCAAGCTTTTCAGTTACAATTACATGAGAGAGTAACTCCAATCACCGAGAACAAGTACACTTGAAAAAATAGCTTTAGCCGGAAAATGCCGTTTTCATTTATAGCAAAACGCTTCACTTGTCCCCTGAATACAACATCGCACCTTCAATCTGTGCACGAGTGGGTTTGTAATGAATCTATGCTGTCGTCTTGTATTGTACTTCTGCATATTAAGCGAAAACACCCACTCTCTTTCCATAATTTTATCAAGAAGTTTGTAAAGAGCAGCATTTCTTTAATTTTGTCAAAACTTCACAAAGCTAGGAGAGGAGTCGGTGATTTCACATCTATCGGATTTTTGGGAATATAAGATTTTGACGATCCGTTTAAAACATTCCTTCAAGAAGTTAGGGGAAAGAGGAACGCGACAGGCGCCCACATGATTACGCGTATGACACGCCTCACTGGCTGCGACTTTGCAAGATGAAAAAAAGCATCTATTTGCTTGGTAACTATCACCCCGTATTAGCTATTTCCATTGCGTTTTCGTCTCAAACTGAGAATAAAATATTGTTCACATGCTACGTCTTCTTGGCATTATTTGTTGTAAACGAAGCCGTTGTTAGAGCAACTATAACGGAACAGGAAATTGCTGACCCTCGGCTGACTGAGTATGCCATTGCGGTGTGAACTTAGCAAGGGAACCTTTCTAGGAAACAGGTCTCTTTCCGGGAAATCAAAGGAATTGGGGAAAAAAAGAGGACATTAGGGCATATGACAATTGTTATAGGTCAATGATTCTTTTTGTGAAAGAATGTCAACTCAGTTGTTTCGCTCAGCATATTATCACCTCGTATTCGCTGCTTCAAAGCTGTTTCAAATTTATTGGGAAATAATGTCAATCTTGTTCCATCTTCAAAACCTCCATTTTCCCTGAGTACACTGTAGAGTAAAGAGCGCGTTTTTGAAATCCACAAGCCCAAATCACCTGACTGAGCATAGTAAGACCCTAAAAAAAAAAAAAAAGCAAATAGGTGATTGTAATAATTTTCACAAATATTATTTTATGGTTTATCATTCTTAATACTGAAATTTAGATAAATGTTGAACGACTTGAGCTGTTCTTGAGGATGTTTGAATAATTAAAATATATTTTCAATTCTGAGATTTAAAATTACAGGCAATAAGGATGAAGGGAACATATTGCAACGCGAGTATAGCTTCGTCTTCTCCGCAATCCACAGCTGCAGAGTAGACTCGACGGCATCCTTCATCAACTTCAGCCGAGTTAACTTTTGGCTATCTCCGTATTTTAGTCTAGAAACTCCTCAACTTCTACAGAAGCTTGTTCATTATGCTTTATGTGATTATAGAGCTGGATAACGTTCGATAAAAGCTTGCATAGGGCCGATTTCCGACGCGAGGAGACAATTGACAATTTTTGGTTTTCATGGAGAAAGAATGTGTGTAAAGGAATATTTTCGCGGAGTATTCGCGGAGAAAAAATTGTTAGAAATTCAACATATAATTCAAGGAAGTTTTTGATATAATCCAGGCAAAGTATAAAAAATTCCCCAAGTTGCTGAGTGGTCGCACAAAATTGTAGGTGTTCGATTTTCAATAATTTCGCGATGTTTTTACATGTTGATTAAATGCTTTTGGATAAATATCATAGTAACAAGCTCTCAGAAATGGATAAATTTCCCTTCTTTTTCGTGAAAAGATATATTTGTGCACTTTCAAATGAGACTGCATTCTTTACTGCTAAAAATGATTGAAAAATGCGATACAAATCACAACATACTTTCAATACAACATGTTTTAAATAAGCTTAAAACCCCGGCCAAACGAGAAATGTTGCGCCAAGCAACAAGACGCAACATTGTTGGGTCGCCCAACATGTTATCATGGAAGAGGGTGGCCGAACGATATCCAACAACACGCAACAGTTTCGTGAATCCATGCGTGACGTATGCGTGACGGCTATATTGAGCTCTCAGAGAAGTTATCTTGCTCTTAATCTCAGCTAACGAGGTACCTGGCAGGTTTCTTGCAGTACACTAAATGCTTCGATTCTCTTTTCTTTTAGATAGTACTCCTTACTGCAGACGTCCCACAGACAAAATTGTCGCTCAAAAGTGTCTATCAATAATTCTACCTCTTGATCAGTCCATATTCGCGCTGTTTTTCTTTTCGTAGCTCTGTCTCTCTGGCTTCCCTCTGCAGGGATCGTTTCTAGCTCATCCTCGTACGCCGCCATCTTGAAAGACGTGTTCGAGAATTTTGAGTGTGCGATACGCATGCGTTAGCGCAACATGTTGCGTTGACCAGGCCAAACAAGAAAATTTCATGCATTGTGAACACAAACAAAGGAAATGTTGGCTATTGTTGCGAAGAAAGTTTGACCGTCGTCAAACTTTATCTGACAAATGCCAACACGTCGCAACAACTCGCAATAGGGTGGCCAAACGAGCCAATGTTGGGTGACCCAAGAATGTTGCGTCTTGTTGCGAGGCGCAACATTTCTCGTTTGGCCGGGGCTTAAAAGAGTGATGAGGGGTTGATCAGTAACAAATGTAACCTCATTCTCAAGGTAGATCTCCTGTGTTTATTACTTCTTTAACCCCTAAGAGTTACTAGTTAAATATTAAGGTCACCAGAAAAAAAGGAGATGATTGCCAACTAAAGAACCTTGAGAACATGCACACTAATGTTGGGGAGGACTGGGTTGAAATAGACAAGGTAGTCAAAGGTGCCAGGAATAACCTGCGGAAGCATTACCA